TACAGCACGTCCTCGTCGTGCGCCACGGATAATGTCTCAAATGAGCATTAACAGAGCTGTCAGGGGAGTTCGGCGGCCCCCAGAGGTGATGTGTCCTTGTGGCCCTCATCAGCCCGCCCCCAAACGCTTGGGTGAAAAATGTTATCAAAACTCATTAGGAACATGAGTAGGTTTGCCAAACGTACAGCCAAAATTACAACCCTTGGTTAAAAGACTGCGGAGACTGTTAACCCTCAGTGTCGTCGTCACCGCGCTGAGGTGCACCACAACAGCAACCATCCATAGGCTGGTCATTCATGCACATCCTCGGTTAACCCTCAGTGTCGTCGCCACCGCGCTGAGGTACACCACAACAGCAACCATCCATCGGATGGCCAAGCCTAAATGTCCGACAAAACTAGATCATACGGATCAAAATCTGACCATCAAAATTTGTATTGAACTGAAAACGACCGAATGTCCACACCCAAAGACCCCACTCGCCCGAGTGTTGGGACAAAACTGATAACGATATGCCTGATGCAGGATGTAAAATTATGTCGGGCTAACGGTTCGTCAAAGAAATCTAACGTGCGAAGAAAAAAGAATGTACCTATCTGTGTGGTCACAAAAGTCCAAAACCCACGGGCTGCTCCCCGCTGACTTCCAGAGGGCGCAGCCCCTGCCGAGCGGGAGACCTGATACGGTTGTGAGGTTAAGCAGGCATGTGCAGGACGTGACGATTCCTTGGGTGAGCCCAGAACCAGAACGTGATGTGCCGGCTCTGCATACATGGATGCCTCCTTGGATGACGGGGAATGCCCATGATCTGCCCCTGCCTTCCCTTGAGGGCTAACTGTTCCACAGGGGGCTGACCCAAAGGGGTGCTCCGGGGGCAATACCTGCGGCGAAGGAGACAAAGTGGACACCACACAAATCAGGCAACGTCTCGACCCACACAAAACAATGGCCACAGTCAACCTAGAAATAGGCCTGACGTCTTCCTTCGAAGTCGGCGTACAGCTGCCCAAGAGGCGGGGAAATGAAAAACGGTTGTACACGCAAAAATCAGGTCCAGGTGAAAGCCAAAAGTCCAAGCGGACGACTAACCGGGACCTTCCACTGGAATTCACAGCCGGTGTTCGATGAAAAAAAAAAAATTTAATCGAAGTTTTACTGTACTATTTAAAATAAATTTGGTACAACTCACGAAAGTTATCCCATCCCGTCGGTCGCGAGATTTTGTAAGGAATTTCTCGCGACAATCCTATATTCTAGGAGCACGGCCGACTCGAGCTGGCCGTGTCAAGGCTGTAATGTGTTCCTCGTTTTAAACGTTTTAAGCAGATCCACTACTGAGGACAGCTCCCACTAATTAGCATGCAAACACAACACGATCAATTTTTCGATACCCACGAAGGCTTCCAAGTCCCCTTTCAAAATTTTCTTTGGAGGGGGGGGGGGGGGCTGACCCCTCTAAATATGGGACTGGGCACATACCTCGGCATTGACAGCAGCTGGATTCTGCTCCGACCCGAGCGTCATGACACAGGAGAATGTGAGATTGGTCGCTTTAGACGCTTGTATCCACTCCTCACCTGGATGGATGTCTGTAAGGCTGCAAACCTGCATGATGTCATCCTCTGCCCTACCCAGCCATGATTTGCCCCTTTTAAGCCTATTGCCCTCTTTCTTGAAGAGCATGTGATGCAAAGGGTGCTTCAGATCTGAGCTTATTTTGAGGTATGCACGAGCCCTCCAGATCTTGATCCTTTAGTTCATGGTAGATAAGTTAAAAAGGTACCGCATTGCTACACAAGGGGTGTCTCCAGTGCACCCTAGAATAATGCGCATTGCTTCATTTTGCACCTTCTCAAATCTTTCAACGTGAGTATGGCTGACAGTGAGGATGACTAGAGCATATTCGTGAGAGAAAGTACAAGTCCCTGGAACAGAAGCAGAAGCAGTCTCTGCTCAGTGTTAGCGGCGGCCAGGACCCTCATTGCTGACAGGCCTTTGCGTGCTTTTGTTATGATATGGTCAACATGTTCTTTGAAGGATAGGCTGCGATCAAGCCTCACTCCAATGTATGTCCTCAGATTTGTTATAGTCAAAATTTCCTCGCTGCTTTCCACTGCTGGTAAGTTAGCCTTTGATAATGTCGAAGTCTGGCACTAGTAGCACAGTGTTAGTACGAATATGCTGTTTTTAATCTGTTTCATGGCGCTTATACTTACGTTTGTATGTGTTAATAAAAGTGTCAGTTGGTACATCAGTGCACTGGCTCGTTGGCATCTTGTTGCTAATTCTCGATCTATTCTCCCGTCCTCCGAGAATATACTTCCTCGATATTTACCTTCTCTAACTTGCTTCAGTCAAGTATCATTCAACCAGATATGTAGAAGACGAGAAATTATGCTGAACTTAATTACTTCAGTTAGTTTTAATAGCAAGTGAAATAGTTAAAGTTGGTTGCACATCCTTTACAGGACATCGCAGAACCAAACCCAAAATCTTTTTGGCTGCTGTGGTTTTTCTAGAAAAATGTATGTCTAGTAGTTTGCCGTTGCTTCTAGACGGTCGGCTTCTCCATACCACTGTTGAAACCAACGCAAGGCGCAAGGCCCGCAGCTGGGATTGAACCCTGTATTTCTGAATTACGAAGCTCGTTCGCATAGACTAAGCCACAGACTCCGACAAATGAAATAGTAAGATGCTAAATTTATCCGGCAGCCACATTTAGCGAACAAGTAGCTAAAGTCAGCACCGGAAACAACAAGTGCTGCCGCCTAGACCCCAGTTCCCAAGAAAATCATACAGGGAAATCACAGAAGGGATAAAAATAAAATCGCCGTCGTACCACTCTTTCTGCATATATCACTTGTGATGGTAAGATCGAGTCTCCTCAAATAATTTGTTATTCTATGTTGTTGCTCAGATTGATTTATGTTGCTTCAGATACTGATAGTAGCAATAGTTTGTACAATAAAATTACATTGTTATCAGAACTCGAATAGTAGTCTTACTCTATGACTATGAGAGACATTGTGATTGTAAATGTCGATTTCGTTTTTTGACTGGCGGTCAAGACGGGTCTGTATTGGTTTAGTAAAGTGTAATAACTAAATATCTAGATTTTTTTTTTGTTTCCTTCAGTAAATTTGAGTTTGAGAAGACAAGATTTGTTAATTTCACGATGTTGTCACCGCAGACGTGAAACTGAAACCAAGTGGAAATTCAGAGATCCGGGTTGTTGTCAATGACGTCCATTAAAGGTGTTTGTTGTCTTTCCAGCCGTGACTTAAAACGACTTCTAATTTTAGTGAGTTAATTAATCGATAGGTAAATGAAATACATTGATTTACAAGTATAGCATTGTTTATTTGCATCTGTAGATTATGTGAATATGATTGAACTTCAGAGGTAAAATTGTTGCAATCAATTAATGAAATATACATGTCCAAGCAGGCTATCCTCCGAATAACGGTCCCAAATTATCGAGGCCGAGAATTTACCCTAACAGGGCTTCATTCACGTGTCAATTGTGGACTTCTGGCAACTAAAACTGCTCACTTCTGGCAACTTAAATTGCGCACTTCCAGCGACTTTTGCCACCGCCAAGAGTATCCCCCACGCCGCGTGAATGGTGTGGATTGGGGCTAAACTAGATGGCTAGGACTCATGAGCAGCAGCTACCGCATCTCCTGCAGCTTCCTTCATTTTATTTGCTCATGAGTCCCAGCCATCTAGTTTAGCCCCAATCCACGCAGCATGAGCGGCGTGGGGGGTCCTCTCAGAGGTGGCGGTATAATCCCCGGATGTCCCCAATAGACACGTGACTGAGGCCCTGTTAGGGTATATTTTCGGCCTTGATAATTTGGAACCGTTATTTGGAGCAAAGCCGTCCAATCAGTATTAATGCTATTGCTATTCAACTCCTTTATTGCCTTTAGTAACTCTTTAGATTATCAGTGCCTTTTGTTTGAGTTGTCTAGTTTTTATATTAACTCATTTTGGTAACCTGGTGTTTAGAGATTTGCTAGAGAGATCACAAAACTTCTCTGTCAGCAGAAATCTTTTTAGCTTTTTCTATTACAATCTTCTGGATGTTGTCTTCCTCATGAAACTCTGGTCATCCCTGGGGGGTCTGGTTCTTGTTCTCCTTTGCCTTGTGGCGGGTTATTCTCTCTCATTCTGCATACATGTCCAACCCTTCATGACTATGACTGATCCATCCATCTGAGTCTATTCTTTTTTAAATAATGTTATAAACACTTCATTACAATTCTCTGGAATTCTGCTGTTACAAACTAGAGGAGGAGGAGAAGCAGCAGACGAAATCTGAGTCTTGGTCAGTTTTTTTAAAACATCCAGAGTTATAAATCTTTGACCACCGAGCAGACAGGCAGGCTGCTAGCTATTGCGTCATTATGGCTCCCAGGTCACTAAACAGCTAGTTTGTTAGTCATTCTTCTTTCATTCACCTGAAATAAGTTGTCTATATCAGCAATTTTGTCTCTTGTATAAATTTCACTGTTGTTAATTCATTCAGTGGTCCATAGCGTTTACGTTCCACTGTTGTTCTTTCTGGCTAAAAGGTTTGCCTTAATGTGTCAAATTTGGTGCAGTCCTTCGAGTTATTAAGACGGGTTTTTTTTTAATCGCAAGTAATCTCTAAATACAGATGGGGTAAAGAATAACTGCTTTCCTTCCTTTTGACCATGAAAACAGTGACATAATTTTACATTTATTATGACGTCACAATGACAAAAAAAGAAATTTGTTGCACCCTAAATAATATCTGAATTTTCTCTGCGAGAAAGTACCCTCTTATCTACACACTATGCAGTCTTAGCCTGTACCCGGGCGCTGTCTAAAGACAGCATATTGACCAAAACCCTTAAAAGCCAGAAAAATGGCTTCCTCAGGACGTGAGGCTAAAATACATGAACTCAGAGTTAAGTATTGAAACACATTATAATATACATATTTACATTCTTTGTTTTTCCTGCAGTATTTTTATGGATGAAAGCAACGTCCATCAAGTTGGGATGGAGGGTGGGTGGATACAGATGTGCTCGGAGCCCGGCCCAGGGCCTCCTGGTAAATTAACGACTGATGAAGCCATGTCGAAATATTTGGAACCTCGGAGAAATCCACAGTTGCAGTTCCAGAGTTCAGAAATGGCATGGAGGATGAAAGGTAACTATTGTATTGTAAAGCGTGATGTGTATTGTATAGCTCTGTGTTTTCAAATGTTTTTACATGCAACGACACACAGATGCACATATCCACACTGCAAATATCAGTACAGACTACAGAGAGAGAGAGAGAGAGAGAGCTTCAATACAAACAGTAAAAAGAAAAAAACATGTTTGTATACACATAGATGCATACACATGTAAATATATATGTATGATGACGTGCATGCGTGTGTGCGAATATATGGATATACACATAAAACAAAAAAAGACGGTTCTCCTTTAAACTACGGCCGGCTAGTCGGAGTTCAGTCCCCTGACTACAGTACAATTACGGAGTGGAGAAGGCACGAATCACAAAACAAAGTGAGGTCGACATGGCTCGTAGACCACGCGCCCACAGTGACATCCACACCCAAACGATTGAAGGGCTCTGGATACTACTGAAACGCAAGATTCTGCACCAATTGGGCACTAGCCGGGCGCTATTGCCTTCGCATTTAGCAGAATATCAATGGCGCCACTGCCACAAGCAGCACATTTTCGGCTGTTGTTTGCAACTCCTGTGTCAAAATTATCAGGTACAGCGGCCGTATTATGGGTAAGTACTCGACGTTACATGTGTTACCCTACCCCAAACCCTAACTCTAACCATTTATGTCATTTGTTTCGTTCCCTCTTTTCCACTCCATAATTGCATTTTAGCCAAGGGACTGAACTCCGACTAACCGGCCGTAGTTTAGAGGAGAGCCAAAAAGGCTGTCTTGTTTTTTTTGTGTACTATGGAGGGTGTCTCAGAAAGTCAAATTTTGAGTAATGAATATTTTTTTTTTAAAAAGTGATACAAATGTCAGTATGTGTGTTGTTTTACAGGGATAAATATATCCAGAAGTCTTGTTTCATAAGTAAGAAATATGTCAGAAAGTTTTTTTTTTTTTTTTTCTCTTAAAAATTGAAGTGATAAGTGTGTCAAAAAGTATTTTATTTTTAAAGTGATAAAAATTTCAGTATGTGTGTAGTTTTAGAGGGATAAATATATCCAGAAGTCTTGTTTCATAAGTAAGAAATATGTCAGAAAGTTTTTTTTTTTTTTTTTTTTTTTGTTTCTCTTAAAAATTGAAGTGATAAGTGTGTCAAAAAGTAATGTTGGTGTTTTTTTTTTTTTAAGTGATACATATGTCAAAGGTTGTTTAAAGTGTCAAAAAAGTTTTCTTGGATTTTTTAAAGTGATACTAAGTCAAAAAATCTTTTTTTTTTTTTAAATGTAAAAAAGGTGTATATCTAAAAAAAAATTCTTGTTTTTTAAGTGATAAATATGTCAAAAATTGTGTGTTTTGCAATAATAAATGTCACAAATTCTTGTTTGTAGTGATAAATGTGTCAGTAAATCTTGTCTTGCAGTAATATGTGTGCTAAAAATATTGTCTGCGGCATCAAATATGTCAGAAAGTCTTGTTTTTGCAGCGATAAATATGCAACAATTCTTGTTTTACAGCAGTAAATGTAAGAAAGTCTTGTCTTACAGCAATAAATAGCCAGCTTTATTTGCGGCGATAAATATGTCAAAAAGCCTTGTATTGCAGCAGCAAATGTAAGAAAGTCTTGTATCCCTTTTTTCACAATGTAAATGTCAGAAAGTCTCATTTGCAGCGATGAATATGTCAGAAAGTCTAGTTTTACAGCAATAAATATAAGAAAGTCTTATTTACAGAGAAAGATTTCTTGTTTAGCAGTGATAAATGTCAGAAAGTCTTGTTTTGCAGCTGTAAATATGTCAGTATGTCTTGTTTTGCAGCTGTAAATATGCCTCAAAGTCAGGTCACAGACTACTCTGATATGGATGTGTCTATTGCCGGCGCCAAGTTGAAGAGTGAGAACTTGCGTCTGAAGAACATTCCAGAACTGCAGACTGATGAGTTTATGGATTGTGACAGTGGTATGTTTGATTCCTATTTGATGTTTTGATGTTGATTATTTTATGACATTATTATAGTGATTCTTCAATGACTTCTTAATGTGGATTTTGTGTGTGTGTGCGGTGGCATCATAATGTTAATTTTTTTGTGGCATTATTATATTGATTCTTTTGCGACATTATAATGTTGATTCTTTTGTGACATTATAATGTTGATTCTTTTGTGACATTATAATGTTGATTCTTTTGTGACATTATAATGTTGATTCTTTTGTGACATTATAATGTTGATTCTTCTATGACATAATAGTGTTGATTCTTCTATGACATAAAGTGTTGATTCTTCTATGACATAAAGTGTTGATTCTTCTATGACATAATAGTGTTGATTCTTCTATGACATAAAGTGTTGATTCTTCTATGACATAATAGTGTTGATTCTTCTATGACATAATAGTGTTGATTCTTCTATGACATAATAGTGTTGATTCTTCTATGACATAATAGTGTTGATTCTTCTATGACATAATAGTGTTGAAACTTCTGTGACATTATAATGTTGATACTTTTGTGATATTATAGTGTTGATTCTTCTGTGACATTATGATGTTTGTTCTTCGGTGACATAATGATGTTGGTTCTAATGTGACATTTTGATGTTGGTTATTTTATGACATAATTTTAGGATCATATGGCCTTGTACTTTATTTTTCCAAATGTACTCTAAGGTAGAAATACAAGACTGCAAGGTCTTATCTTCCTCTACATCCTAGGGTAGAAGTTCAAGACTTTGAGGTCTTATTTCCCTCTACATCCTAGGGTAGAAGTTCAAGACTTTGAGGTCTTATTTCCCTCTACATCGTAGGGTAGAAATCTACAACCATGGCAAGAGACAAAAAGTTTTGAAGTTCCTTTGCATAGGACCTTCACTGTGAAGATGACACCTGATTGATTGTGATTGTATTTCAGAAGACTATACACAGATAACAAGCTTAACAAAGACATCTTAAAAATTAACATGCAGGACAACGATTTACCTTCATCAGTAGTAGACAGTCCATCATCTTTTAATGTCTTTAGAAGAAGGCATAGACAGGGTATATTATGACAAGAGGAAAGTTGAAGGAAAAGCAAGCAGGAGACTAGGACAGACGATATTAGTTTAGCATTACAGCTTTGAGAAACATCTGGATCAGAAATGATTGACAGAACTTGAGGTTGTGGACAGGCGTATGCTCTAGAAGGGTAAGGAATGCCCGTGCCATCTTTAAAGAAAATTCTCGTAAAGCTAAAATCAGTGAGGATAATCAACTGTTATACTTAAGGCATAACGAATCTACTAGTTTAACAACATAGTGTTAGTAAGATTGTCTAAATATTCATAGTACAATTTCTCTCTTATTCACAACTCAAAGAGTGTAAACAAAGCAATGCTTTAAACAGTGTAATACAGTTTACATAGTCAAAAAGTGTAAACAAAGCAACGCTTTAAACAGTAATACTGTTTACATAGTCAAAAAGTGTAAACAAAGCAATGCTTTAAACAGTGTAATACAGTTTACATAGTCAAAAAGTGTAAACAAAGCAATGCTTCAAACAGTAATACAGTTTACATAGTCAAAAATTGTAAACAAAGCAATGCTCTAAACAGTAATACAGTTTACATAGTTATCTTAAATAAATGATTGGGCAACATTTAAAACAGCAAATATATACTTCGAGAACTCGATGAACACTTTATATCCCAGTTATAACTCTGATGGTTAAACAGGATATTTTTGTGAAAATTATTTCTGCTACTGGACAGACATTACGACTAATTTTACAAACAATACATATTTACATACATTTAAACACCAAACTGACCCAGTTAACATATTATAAGCATACAGTCGGTTTTACTTCCAGATCTAGATATAGATAAAAAAGTTGCCACCAAGAAGGTGGCTCCACCAGTGGAGACCAAAGATGAGAGGGTCCCAGATGTGTGTCTCAACATCCAGAACAAGAAGCGACCACAGAAACGCTCCATAGCTCAGGCTGTCTATGAGCCGAATGTCTCTCCTGCCTTGTAAGTCTTCTTCTCATGTGATGTCTATTATTGTGAGCCAGTGGACACCTAATGGCCTAATGGCATCTGTCAGTCCCGGGGGACTATGGAGATGTGCAGTTGGCTTTGGGAACAGCATCTGCTGTGACTGTAAAGTCCGATGCGGGAATGGCAGCCTTTGCCACACAGGATACACACAAAAGCAGATACTCCCTCGTTGTGAGGCAGTTTTACTCTCCGGTCTCTCCTCTCCACAGCTGTTGTGTTCGGTTTCTTTCTTCTTCTTCTTCTTCTTCTTCTTGTTCACCGGCTGTGAATTCCGGCGGTAAGACGCGGTTGTTCGTCCAAGATGGACTTTTGGCTTTTACCTTGACCTGAGTTTTGCGTGTACATCCGTTTTACTGGCTTATTTGTTTGCAGTACTCGTTCCCCGCCTCTCCGGCAGATGTACTCCGACTTCGGAGGAAGACGTCAAGCCTATTTCTAGGTTGACTGTGGCCATTGTTTTGTGTGGGTCGAGATGTTGCCTCATTTGTGTGGTGTCCTCTTTGACTTTTAACAGGTGTGGCCCTCCGGCATGTCGTCCTTAAGGCAGCTCTATGTAGTGTTTTCAGCCCTCAAGGGAAGGCAGGGGCAGATCATAGGCATTCCCCGCCATCCAAGGAGGCTTCCATAAATGCAGAGCCGACACATGATGCTCTGGTTCTGGGCTCACCCAAGGAATCGCCACGTCCTGCCCATGACTGCTTAACCTCACAACCGTGTATTGAGCTTCCCGCGCTACAAGGCTGCGCTCTCCGGAGATCAGCGGGGAGCAGCCCGCAGGTCTAGGACGTTTGTGGCCACACAAATAGGTACATTCTTTTTCATCTTACGTTTGACACCTTTAACGTTTTTTCAGCTGTGCCCTTAGCACGACAAAATTGGGAAGCAAAATGCGTCAGGCGTGGCTTCACCTGTTTGGTCCCAACACTCGGGCGAGTTGGACCAGTGGATACGGACATTTGGACTTTTCCCTAATCGGTACGAATTATGATCGTCGGACTCTGAGCTTGCATGTGTGCCGTGGGGTATAACTTTGTCGGACATTATTTCCAAACCAGCATATGAAAAGTTGCTGCCGTGGTGTACCTCAGCGCGGTGACGACGACACTGAGGATTGACAGAGGATGTACGTAGGTAGGATCTTGCTGCGAGAAGTCGCCCACAAGAGATGTTACTTGTCTTGGCTGCGGGTAAATCTCTCGGTCAGGGTTGAGTCTCAGCAGCACAGTTTTAAATTCCCTCCCGAATTTTAACCAAGAGTTGTCATTTGATGGTACATTTAGCAAGCAATTTTGAGTTTTGTTAGACTTTTCACCCATGCGTTTGGGGCGGGCTGGTGAGAGCCAGAAAGGACACTACACCTCTGAGGGCCGCCAGCTCCGAGATCCCCTGCCAACTCTGTTAATGCTCATTTGAGACATTATCCGTGGCGCACGACGGGGACGTGCAACAGGAGTCTTGCATGAGGTTCCGTAAAACCAGAACAGTGAAGGACTGGCGCCCGAGTGGGGTACGGAGTATCTCCTTATACACCTCACATCAGACTTAACTTTGCCTCATGCCTGTGACCAAAATCACAGCGCCACTAAGGTTTCTTTCAAAATGTGACAGTCCGTCTTTCACTTTCTGTCTCCATAGTAGTCGATCTGCAGCTGATTTTTCCCATGTCTCTGTGCCTATGTTGGTATCTATTAGGTCACGTTTGCATACGTCTTTATAGCGCAGCTTTGGCCTTCCTGTAGGTCTATTCCCAGTTACCAATTCACCATATAGGAGATCTTTTGAGACATGGTGGACACATGCCATTATTATCTGTTAATGATTCTGCAAACAAAAAAAACTATTTTGAATAAGCACCAAGCATTTAAAACAAATAGCAACCCCTGCTTCCATTCTGACCCAGTCTAAAATCGAGTGCCTTTTGCTTCATAAAAAATATATACTGTTACAAAAAAGGAACGCATAGTTGCCCAATGGCACATTTTTTATTAGTTTGTAAATAAAATATTGTACTCGGGTATGTGACAAGCAGACTCAAATGTTGTTTACCGTGTCCAGTGGACATGTGGGAGTGAATTGCATGGTTTTTTTAAAAAATCGTTACAACACAGTGGTCAATTGTGTTTAAGACCATATTTGTGAGCATAGCTCACGATGTGCGCACAAGAAAGCAACACAATTTGCGGTGAACACTATTCACTGCCTACGCAATTGAAACTCTATAAAAGGATTACGCTACTCCAAAACAATCAGTTCATTTTCAAGCAGTCATGAATGACAACTCTATCGATAAATTTAAGGAATATTGCTATTGGCCGATTGCAGGCAGGAAAAGTCAAAGATAGGTTGCCAGGCATCTAACCGTGCATCAGAGTACTATCAGTCGACTTTGGCACCGGTTCCAAGCCACTGGTTTAGTTGAATACCGACATCACTTAGGACGACCCAGAGTGACAATAACAGTGAAGAATCGCTTTATTCGGCTTCGTCACCTCAGAGACAGGTTTACAACAGCTTCCTCAACTGCACAGGCATTGCCTCCAGGACGTCATGTGTCTGATCAAACTGTTCGGAACAGACTGCATGAAGTTGGACTTTGGGCTCGACGACCACACTGAGGACCTGTCTTTACACGTCACCACTGCTAAAATCAACTTCTTTGGGCCAACCAATATCGTCCCTGGGCAAGTGACAATCAGTGGAGACATGTATGGTTCAGTGACGAATCTTTCTCTTTGTTGCAGCGTCATGATAGACGCGTAGGGTCTACCATAGACAAAATTAAGTTTTAGCCCAAAATTGTGTTGATGAAGCTCTGCTGCACGGTGGTGGAGGTGTAATGGTATAGGGAATGATCAGTTACAACGGAAGGAGCCAAACTGGCTGATATACTGAAAGAACTTCTTTACGCAACACAGCTCCCACCCAACTCAGTTCCCATCACTTGCCTGAAAGACATTCAGTCCCTTACCAGCTCTCCCACCTCAATCACTTTCTTGTCTAGAGTCTCTTATGTCCTGTGCCCATCTTTATGCTGGTCATCCCCTGCCCCTCTTGCCCTGTGCCATTATTCCTTCAAGTCCCCTGTAATGTTTAATATGGCCAAAGTATTGGGTTTCTGAGACCAGGTGCTATTTATATTCTTGATATTCAGATATTTCATGGTGTCAGCATTTCTTTTCTTCTTGGTCCACAGTATTCTGAGAATCTTTCTGTAGCATTTCAGCTCAAAAGCCTGATTTTCTTCCATAATTATTGCGAGATTGCCTCAGAGAGGCAAGATGGTTAAATTAATCAACTACTTCTTCAGCGATTAGCATTTGCTGTGCATCTATTCCAATATGGTGCCTCATAGTTTACCTGGCAAGGAGTGACGACAGAGTTTCTTCCCTCTCACTGTCAAGGTCGGGGCAGTGATGTAAGACATGGTCTATGTCAGGTTCACGTTTTAATTACCAACCTGGCTGTGGGTCGTGTAGAAAACAATTCATTTTTAAACCTAACACCCAGCTTTCCTTGTAACATGCTATTTTTATTGGATAGTCTAAGATTATAATCCCTTGCTATACCCTGGCCTGACACAGCCACCAACTGAAGCTCTTCTGTAAACTTTTTAAAATGTATTTGTTCAGATTAAAAAAAAAGGTTATCGCCTCAATTAAAGTCCGCCGACTGATACTGCTGTGCTTCATTTAAATGTCTAGATTTATGCAGACAATAAAATTTTTTTTTTTTTTTAATGATAAAAAGAAGAAATCTATTTCTTTTTGTTCAGCATCTATAAGCTCCAGCGGAAAGTCCTGGTTGTTCGTCCATTTGGACTTTGGTTTTGTGCCAGGGTCTGAGTTTTGCGTGTGCATCCGTTTTACTGGCTTATTTGTCTGTAGTTGGTTGTTCCTTGGCGCTCAGGCAGATGCAGTCCGACTTCGAAGGAAGCCCCCAATTAGTTGATTACTATGACGTGCTTGTTGGGGATGGATTAGGTCTGTTCTTGTTTTCCCCACAACGGGACCCCGGACCCACACGGGGAATAAAGATAACTATCCATGCTGACGTCTTTACTGACTTTTCACAATGTCTCAATTCTCTCCTTGTTTCCACAGGATTTATAGTGGTCGCTTCAGTTAAGCCTGACATTCTGTAATTCTTCGACACATGCACAATTTAAAATGCATAAGTTTTGTTACCTTATGGCCGGAGTGTTTATTCGCCAATCACAGAATGCTGTGCTTCTTTGAAGCAGTCACCAGAAATCACTCATGATCAGATTTGTGCAGACAAAAAAAAAAATTACTAATTAACGAAACTATCCTTGTTGTCTGGTCTTTACTCACATTTCACAGTATCTTAGTTGTCTCTCCTTGTTCCCACAGAGACCCACACACTTTGAAGATCACAGAAGAAGTTATCCAAAAGATCAAGGAAGAGACTGACACGAGCCTTGGAATCTGCCTTACTTACAACCGCCAGGTGAGGATCATTACCTGTTCTGTTCCATGTTCCCCTAACAAGTATGTTCTTCTTCTTGATCTTCTTTGGGTTCGGTTTTGTATGCTCAGGTCACACCAACAGGTGTGTTGCCACTGTGAACTCGCATGTCAGCTGCAGGTCCTTCATGGTTCCCCATAGCTTGCTCTTCACATTCTGCTCTTGAGGCCAGGTGTCTTTTCAAAATTGTAGGTAGAGTGGGCAGGTCTGCAGAATGTGCTCAAGTGTTTGTGGTCCTCTCTGACAGGCACATTGTGGGGACTGTACAGTTTTTATTTAATGCATGTGGTAGTTGAGCCTGCAGTGTCCTTTTCATAAACTGAGATTTTTTTAAAAGGTGATTAATTAGAAATATGCCGGAATCAAATGTGCTGGGGAAAAAGGGATATCCCGGTGTTCGAGGGACAGTCAAGTATTCTAGGAGTGTTATGGGTTGTGGCTAGGATCAGGGTTAGGGTTAGTTGTATCTAAGGCGTTCGGAGCTTACAAAGAACCTAACCCCAACCAATAACACCCCTAGAATATTAGACGATCCCAGGAACTCCTAGATTTTCCTTTGTTTAGAGTGAATAAAGAGTAAAGTACCTTCTTCTTCTTCTTCTTCACGTTCAGCAGCTGTACACTCTGGCGGAAAGGTTTTTTTTTTGCTCGTCCACTACTGAACTGCAGTCCTGCTCCAGAACCTGAGTGTTGCGTGTGCATCAGTTTTACAGATCTCATTCTCTTGAATACAGACTGTTGGTTCCTTGCCTCTCCTGCAGATGCACTCCGACTTCAAAGGAAGCTCCCCAATTAGTCGACTCTTACGACATGCTTTTGGGGAGGCAGTGGGTCTATTCTTGTTTTCCCCCACAATGGGGCCCCGGAACCCACACGGGGGGTGTAAAGTACCAAAAGGTGCAGATGTTGCAGCCTAGCTATAAACCACAACACAATGAGCCAGCCACCCTTTTAAGGGCGAGCTTAGAAGAAGAAGAATCTCCTAGTGTCTTGTCAGCTGGTGTGGGTAATCATGACTCTTCATAACTTTTAATCTCCAATACCAGTTATCAGTTTGTGTGCATCACTCTTCCATATGATGACACAAGACAGTAAAGCAGTGGTCTCCTCCTTTTTTTTAATGTCATACCACCACCACCCCCCCCCCCCCCCCCCCTCTTCCCTTGAGTATATGGCAAGACCCCCACAACCCCCTTAAGAATATTGTAAGATCTTTCCCCAATGAGTATATGACAAGACTCACCTGTTCCCAGCATAACACAATTGGATTGAAAAGAGTAGGACAATAGATTTCGCAACAGGAGAAACAGAAAGTATGGTGATACGTTTTGGTTAGAATGTGTTCTTAATCTATGATTATATGCCTGTGTTATTATATTAATTAAATTTGTATCAGCAGCTGTACAAACTCCTTATGAAAACAAAAAATGGCCTTGTAATTTTGTTAAATAAATAGTTTAAAAAATATTTTATTTATAATTAAACTAAAACAACATGTTAGTATAACAGATTATTACAGGTAGAAGCAAGTCACTTTAAAAATTGCTTGATGCCCCTTGAAACCTTCTTGCATACCCTGCCCCCCTCCCCCTCAAGTTGGAGACCACGGCTGTAACAGTTTATCTCAAGTTGTCTTCCTCTGTCTCTCTGTCCACAAATTTTTTTTGCTGTCACAACATATTCTACTCTTTCTTCTCAAAATGTGGCATAAATTTAGTGTCTATTTCTGTAGACCATAAGGGTAATGAGACTGAATGAAGCAAATGATAACCTGATTCCCCAACCCCCCCCCCCCTCCCCCTCCCCCCCCATCCATATGGATTCTGAGGCCCCATTTCAGGGAGGAGAGAAGAATAGACCCTAACAGGCATACCATAAAAGGCGACTAATTAGAGGTGTTTCCTTCTAAGTCGGGATGTATTTGCCCGAGAGTTAAGGAACCAGCAGTCTGCATACTAGAGAACAATATCTATAATGTTCTTACACCGGAACCCACTGGGGAATGTGTGTAGAGGGAAGATAGAGTGAGTTGCCTGATATAGCCAAGGATGGGAACCATTTGGCAAAACTTAGTTGGGTGCCTATGCTCCGCTGGGAGATAAAAGGCAGAAGAAGAAGAATAGCCGAGCAGAATGAGGTCACAGATTTAGTTAGTGACTCGGAAATCGAGATAGTCAACAGGCAGAATGAAAGTTGCCCAGTTGGACAGAAGACACATCCAGAGAACACCAACCAGTGGTAGCCAGATACTGCACCCAAGACAGACGCAGTCCTTATCAGGATTGTGCCAAAAAGAAACCCGTTATAAACAGAGGCCCTCGCAACAGACAGTATAGAACCAGCCACCAAGATCCCATTCCCAGAGACAGTATAGGACCAGCCACCAAGATCCCACTCACAGAGACAGTATAGGACCAGCCACCAAGATCCCACTTCCAGAGACCGTATAGGACCAGCCACCAAGATCCCACTCCCAGAGACAGTATAGGACCAGCCACCAAGATCCCACTCCCAGAGACAGTATAGGACCAGCCACCAATATCTCACTTCCAGAGACAGTATAGGACCAGCCACCTAGACCCTACTCCCAGAGACAGTATAGGAACAGCCACCAAGACCCCACTTCCAGAGACAGCAGGTAATGCAGCAGGCACAAGTTGGAAGATAAACTAACTCCACACAAACTGAGGAAGACACAAGCAGAATTAGACGCCCCAGTTATAACAGTCTTGCGATGAATCTTTGCACCTATCAAAGATGCAAACAGCTGGGAATGGAGAGCGAGCAGCAACAACAAAATTCATAATCTGTTTGAATCACCACTGATCACTGGCATCGTGAGAGCTATAAAATGGCTGGGGCATATTGAGAGAATGTCAGATGGCGGAGAGATAAAAACTACACAAGGAAGCTGAATGGTCGTAGACCACGAGGCAGACCAAGAAGACGATGGAGAGATAATGTCCAGACAGACCTGCAAACACTTGGTGTCACCAACTGGAAAGAGAGAGATGATTGGAGGATGATTGGATATCTGCAGCAGTGAACCTCAAGGGCTCAAAGTGCTGAAGAAGAAGTTTTAACCTTCACTTCTTCTTCTTCTTCTTGTGTTCGCTTTCTGATTTACACCGACAGACAGGTTCTTGTGATAAATTTGATTGTTTTTATGAGTTCCTTTTTAGTCCCATACAACGTTGTGTACAGTGGTGACTCTCTGGGCCAGTATTCTCTTCTTAATGGGCTGAACAAGGGACAGTCTTGCAGGACATGTTCTGTAGTCTGCACATTTAGCCCACATGGGCACAAAAGTAAACTACTTAGACGTCCTTCACTTATAATGTTGATCAGGATAAATCAGTCAGAAAGAAACAAACAAAACCAGAAGAATGTTTTATGGGGATCCATGCAGAATTCTTTCAAGAAAGTTGAAAATTGGCATTAATGCAACAGAGCTGATATCCAGAAATGATATAACTAAACACAGACTTTGTTGGGGAAAGAAGGCACAGCCTGATGCTTCAACCAGAGTCCACCTTGACAGATATAATGACAAGAAAAATCCTAAACACTGGCCCCTGTCGTCAATAAGTCAGGTGCCATCTCCACAGCTGAGGTTGTCTGCAGTGGATCTCCAACATACTTTTTCTCTTGTTTTGGTAGTTTACTTTCTCTGAATGCTGTTCGTCCATCTTTTATTTAATGCTGTCCTCCGTCTTGTATTGTTTTTACTTATTACTTCTCCAATATGTCTTTTAATGTGGCCAAAATTTTCAATAATCTGTTTGTTATTTCTTTCAGTATTTCACTTTTAAGAAAGGCCCTGTTCAAGATACAGGCTACTTACATCGAACTAATCTAATCTGTTAATTTTTTTCCTCCGTAGACCCGCACAGATCCGTGGTTACCAACCAGTGTATTGTGTTGCATTTGCGACAGTACAGAATTTCTGTTTGGTTTTTCAGCGTTTCTCAAATATTTGCAACCTGGAGGCTATCAGTGACATAAAGGTACCAAGTGGCACGTTTGGGGACGTTATCAAAGTCAAGGATTCTCAAACTGGCAGCAATCTCATCAAGAAACGGGTATGATCAAATTGTTTGCATGTCACTGATAAAGAAATCAACAAATACAAGAATGAACGAACAAGCAAGCTTTACTTTTAAAGGATTAAGAATTGGGGTCGTTGACGCACGCAGGTCCGTCAAATGTTCTGCCCTTCTAGTCTCTCTCCTTTCATACATCATTTTATTCATACATCAAGTAATAGTAAACATCAGTAGCAGATCAGTATTAAATACAAGCACTGGAATGTCTCCAGAGTTTATATAGGGGGGCATAAACATTTTAGAAAGGCGTAGATGGGGCATGGCTCACACACAAAAAGCTGGGTTGCACTGGACTACATGCTTGCCTGCTGGTTCAAAGGTCTTAGGTTCACATCCACACCAAGTCGGATTTTTTATAATTGATCTTGACAAGCATCTCATAAAATATGACTAATTAGGAATTTGCTGAAATTAAATGTGTAGGGCTGAAAAATGCATGTCACAGCTTAGCTGTAAACCACAGCACTACAAGCTAACCACCATTTTAATTGTCATTGCGCCCGGCTGTCTAGCGCAATTGGTGGTGACCAGGTGACGAACTCCTTGTGGTCCGGGTTCACTCCCGGGGGTAGGCAGAAAAGCCACATTTCTCCCAGATTTACGGTATTTACAATGGAATCAAGGCCGAAAGGTTGCGATATCCATAATACCGAGCCTAAGGGTTAACAAGGCATGGCTTCTGGATACTAAAACAAACAAACAGTTGTCATTGCAGAAGAAAAAGGTATTGAGACCTGTCTAATCCATCTTTGTTTTGTTAGTTGATAACTAGTCATTTCCCTTTTTGTTGCCAGATAAAGAAAAATGCTCAAGGTAAATATGACATTGAGAAGTATGAAATTGAAGTTCCCCTTCAGTTTGCAGATGTGGAAAACATTGCCAGATTTCTTGGCTTGTACTGGTATAGAGACCAGTTGCTTTATATCATGGAGGATGCAGGTAAGTCCGAGTTTTAAAATGTCAAACTGGCATGTCACGATAGTGGGTGTGATTTTATTTGTGTCATTATTCACATTGGGAGTCGAGCGGCTAGACACTTGCCGCAGATTGGAAGGCTGTGGGTTCGCTCCCTGGCGGAGCCGGACTTTTTCAAAAATGAATTTGCTCCAAGGTCGACCCAGCCTTGTGTGGGTGCCGGGTGCAGTCCCGGGAAGTAGAGGCGGCCGACGTGATGCTGACCACACCACCCATCCTGTGCTGATTGGTCTATAAAAATATAGGTCTAGCCCTATATGCCTTATACGCCTAAAGGCGGGGAAAAGGGTCCTTAACTTACTTACTTACTTATTCACGATTGCAAAACTGCATGCTCCATCAGAACCTCAGGGAGAAGTACATGGCCAAGGTGATATTTATTTGTCAAGAAAAGATATAAAACCGAACGAAAAGTATATTAGCAAGCTTCACAATATAACAAATACAAACAAAACGTGAACGTTGTGGCTATTGAGCCTTCATCAGCACATAAAAATAGAACAATACTACATAGATACACAAAATCACTTAGCTGGTATCTCGATGCGGCCAGGTCGGTTGTTACTCAGCAGAACGACCACACGTGTGAGCTGGGGGAATAAATACCCCCCTGTGGAGTATCGGGGGCCATAACTGGGGTGTAGGGGTTGAAACTGTGAGGGCAGTTCAATCCCCTGGAAGTTTAAATGAAACTGTTAGCAATTCTTTCCGGAGGCCTATTTATTTGTCAGCATTGTAGGGAAGAGATTATTATGCTGCAGTCGTCGAATGGGTTCCGGAGCCTCATTTTGGGGGGAAACAAGAATAGACCCACTGCCCCTAACAAGCTTGTCGTAAAAGGCAACTAATTTAGTGTTAGCTGAAATTGTATGTGTTTTACCACAACCACAACACAGCATGCCAACCACCCTTTTAATGGCAAACACAGAAAAAGATAGGCTTCAAGGATTTATTTTTCTGTATATTTCTGTACAAGGTCTTATTTCCCTCTACATCCTAGGGTAGAAGTACAAGACTACAAGGTCTTATTTCCCTCTACATCCTAGGGTAGAAGTACAAGACTACAAGGTCTTATTTCCCTCTACATCCTAGGGTAGAAGTACAAGACTACAAGGTCTTATTTCCCTCTACATCCTAGGGTAGAAGTACAAGACTACAAGGTCTTTTTTCCCTCTACATCCTAGGGTAGAAGTACAAGACTACAAGGTCTTTTTTCCCTCTACATCCTAGGGTAGAAATACAAGACTACAAGGTCTTATTTCCCTCTACATCCTGGGGTAGAAGTACAATACTACAAGATCTTATTGCCATGAAAAAGGAACAGGGGCCGACCAACGCAAAGATGGGCACAAGATATAAGCTACACCTTGGGTAGGAAAGTGCATGAGGCGGGAGAGCTGGCAAGAGAATACTAGTTTCTGTCAGCTAGACCGTGATGAGAGTGATGTTGTGCAAAGAACCTGCTGCATAGTGATGATGACTGCTTTACTGGGGACCTAACCCTGTGGCCCCATGAAGCTGCTAATTTGGCACGCTGAATCATGTCCTGGCTATCTCCTGGAGGAAACTGCAGCACTTATTGAAGTACATCAATCCCTGTGTGGTTTCCTAGGCCCAATTTGGGGGGAGGGGGTGTGTAAGAATAGACCTGCTGCCTGCACAACAAGCATGTTATAGGAGCCGACTGATTGGGGGCTTCCTTCAAAGTCGGAGTCAATCTGCCTGAGTAGCAAAGAACCAAGAGTTTGCACACAGATAAGCCAGATGTGTGAAATTAATGTGCACGCAACACTCGAAATCTGAAAGAAGACTGAAGCCGGAGTTGGACGAACACCCATAACTTTCTGGTGGAGTTTACAGCCAGTGAATCCAAAGAAGAAGAAGTAGCCGTAGTAGAGTAAAACCTCGTTAACACGAAGTCACTTAATATAAAAACTTGGTTAACATAGTTTTAACCCGACAGGATGATTATATGTAAAAGACTTTCTAGTTGATGATGTCTGATGGTATGTATTACCTTTTGGTATATATGTACACTTACCTTTTGGTATGTATGTACACTTACCTTTTGGTATGTGTGTGTACTTACCTTTTGGTATGTATGTACACTTACCTTTTGGTGTGTGTTTACACTTACCTTTTGGTATGTAAGTACACTTACCTTTTGGTATATATGTATAATTACCTTCTGGTATGTGTGTACACTTACCTTTTGGCTTCATACTTTAGCCACACCCACAAAAAATTAAAACTATTAATATTTTTCTACAATTTTCATATGTATATACACTACCTTTTGGTATATGTGTAAACTTACCTTTTGGTATGTGTGTACACTTACTTTTTGGTATGTATGTACACTAACCTTTTCGTATGTATGTACACTTACCTTTTGGCTTCATACTTTAACCACACCCACACAAAAATTAAAACTACTAATATTTTTCTACCATTAGGAATTTCCCTGAGCCAACTGCTCACTGCCGAGGAAAGTTGTCTACTGTTGGAGCCAGGCAGAATCGAAAAGATCATGCTGGATGTTTTCACAGCCCTTTCCCATCTGGCACTTCATTACGTCACCCATTCTGACATCAAACGTATGTATCTTTTGTTCTATATCTTCTTCTTTAGTCTTTACGTAAAATACTTACCTTCTGTCTCAAGACTTATAAGTGCAAACTAAACTGTCATTTCATTTCTGGGATCTGAGGCTCTTTCATAAATTTGGTTCTTTTGCTTAATCCAGGGTTCGTAGCCGATCAGGAAACTTTGAATTAACCTTGAAATTGAGGCCCCAACCAGGAACCCTAATTTTGGCCTTTAAAAAGACATTCTGACCTAAAGATCTGGCTATAAACCCTGTAAATCAGTTAATTTTTTCGCATGGATTTTATACATTTTATCTCCTTTTATAAATGCACCTGCATTTATTTTTTCATTAACTTATTTCTCGCGCTTTCTGTCTGGTCTTTTGTTTTTGTTTTGGGTGTTGGCTCAAAGATTCCGAGGCATTTGATATTTTTAAGTTGAGAAATTGAAAAGTATGGCAACATAAATAAACAGTTTGTTGTTGTTGACAGCGGAGAACATTTGCATAAACACAAAAACATGGGTATCGAAGCTGGTAGACTTTGGCTCCTGCAAGACTCCACAGGATGAAGTGAACTACAAGGGCACCACTCCGGAATACTTAGACCCCCTGGCCAACAAGAGTTACTATGCATTTTATGTGGTAAGCCTTTTATGTTCCTAACATGTTCATTATTCATCTCAGGGCCATTTGAATGAAATTAAGAGGCTTATCATGAGAGAATACAAAAGGACCCTTTTCCACACCTTAAGCCTACTCTAGCTGCCTTTACCTCCCAGGACTTTACCTGGTACCTATTTTAGGCAGGGTCGGTGCGGGAGCCTAGGTCATTGAAAAAATGCATGCCGGCCACATGCAGATTTGAACCCCTGACCTTCAGGTTTGCAGGAAAGCAGTTCACCACGGCAGCTCCATGAGAAAGTACAAAGGCAGAATTTAAATCACATCAGACCCAAAAGATCTTGTCATCCGAAGAAACCACAACAACCAGCTTAAGAATGGAGGTGGAGGCAGTTCCGCTGGTTAGAGAACATCACACACACACACACACACATTGTGATTGTAACTGACTCAGAAAACATACTGAGGAAGGTCAGGACAGGCATGCTTCGTGTAGAGTGGCATGCTTCTTTGCAGAGGACATGGGTGAGGAGTATTGTCTGTATTTGTTCACCGGGACACGCCGGTGTGTTGGGAAATGAACAGGAGGACAGACTGCCTGGCTCTGCGCAACTTGGTGGAATACTGATGCATGATAAGGCTGACGTGGTTCGTGCCTTGTGGGAGAGCATGTACAGTTCAGAGGAGCAGATGCTTCCCCAGTCTGGTGAGATTGATGCAGCGGGGAGTGACGAGAGGTTCTGGCAGATGCTCGAGACTCAGAGAAAAGGCAAGACGAACGTTAAATCAGAATGCTACTGGCACCATTAGTATTAGAACTCTTCACTGGCTGCTGAGGATGGGGACGGAGCGCTTATGGGAATGCCCCAAGTGCTTTGATGTCAGTTCTTTATTCAACTCAACTCATCCCGAGAAGCCACAAAACCAGCAGTTCTGGTTGGATCCAATTTCTAGATAAAAGCCACTTTACTGAGCTGTCTACAGTGACATATTTACAAGACGCATAGTTAATGTTATGGCTATGTTTGAGTCTGCACCAGTATTTAGGAGGTCAGGATGTGAATATATTAACTGGGGGATGAGGGTGTCCTGTGAACCAAATAGCTTTTTTAAAAGCTAAGTTAACGTAAATTTATCCAGTCCGTCTCAGTGATTGAGGGCATAAAAGGGATCATCCAATACATTTTTTTAGACCCCCAGGAAATGTATTTTATATAAAGCTTTAATGTGTTCATGTTTATTGATGTCTTCTTTTAGATATCTTTACATATATATTTTTGTTTTCAGTGTGAAAAAAAGGGAGATAAATTTGAAAAAAAAATTTTATAATGACCTGTGTGACATGGTTGTTTTTAAAAGGATTTTACGGTAATTCCCCCAGGTTCATTCCCCTTGTTTTAGCGTTACCGGGGTGAAAAGATTGAGTAGAATTACTAAGACCTATTTCCTGTTTAAGGTTCTGGAACCTTATTTTGGGGCGGTGGTGGGGGTTAGACCTGCTCCCCCCTACCTCAAACAGGCATGTCGTAAAAGATGAATAATTTGGATTTTGCTGAAATAAAATGTCTTGGGTCAAAAGGCTTGCATGTCACAGCCTAGCTTTAAACAACATACTAGCTGCTCTTTTAAGGATAAATTGCATAAGAAGAGTAAATAGAGACCTGTAACAGTAATATATTTTACGGTTTTTGTTCTACCAATGCAAAACTTGGACAGTGACATGAAAAAGAAACAAAGGAAAAATCATTTGAATTAACTATTTTGCCCTGATGACCTGGGTCATGACCTCTCTGGGATTCCATTTGAAAATCTAAAACTCCCCTCAGCGAGCAACAACTGAATATGAAGACAAAATAGAAGTGGTGATGTTCTCCAGAAAAAGGACCACTAGAATGAAAATTGATGAATATCATTTGAAGAAGGCAAAGGACTTCACTTATCTGGGGACCATCCTTTCAGAAGTTGGAAGAATTAATAAAGAAATCCAACACAGTTGCAGTAAAGCCGGTCAAGTGTAGGGCCAAATGGCACTAATTTTGAAACACAAGCAAGTGAATATCAACACTAAAAGAGCACAGTACAACACAATAGTCATACCGTTGCTATGCTACCAGTGTAAAACATGGACACTGTCTTCAGAACACAGAAGCAAAATAGTCACAACAAAAGGAAATGTAACTGACTCAGAAAGTTTGACTAAGGAATGATGTCATCATGAGGAAAGTCAGCACAGAACCAGTACTAAAACAGATCAAATGGTTTGGCCATGTAACAAGATTGGCATCAGACAGGGCACCACAGAGAGCAATGTTAGACAGATACAGCGGTTGAGAGCCAAAGGTAGAACACACAGAAGATGCACTGCAGGAACGTCAGAGACACTGAAAAGTACTTTATACGGAGCAAACAAAAGGGCCCATTCCAGAGACCTCTTCCTGCCTTGATGTTGCAAGGCATTCCTGGAGTAGAGAGAAGAGACATATTGAGTGCCAGTTGGTCTCAAAATCTGATGCTTGAAATGTGTGGCTTCCCATGATAATGCACGTGGCAATCAGTTTGGATACCAATGAGTCAAAACAGTATGGAACCAGGCTAGCAAAATCTAAAACCAAGCCTAGGGTTACAATAGGTATTAATTTCACCATGAATGGTGAGGGGAAAAAATATGGCAGCAACAAACAACGCTCAAAATGCCACCTAGGACACATGGCAATAGTAACAATGAACTTGAAGGCGTTAAAAATGTTACAAGATTGTTCACAGAAAGTACCATAAGTGTATTATTATCTATCCCATTCCGATGAGGTTCACAAACATGGTAAGTGAAAAGTGAACTCGCCAAAATTGAACATAAACCAAATCAATCCCGTTCTCTCGCTAGATCTCTAAGAAGACAGGATTTACAAACATGTGCAGCTATTGGATCATTGTCTCGACCTTGAAAACTCTATATAACAATTAAAAGGCGTCTTATGTTCAGAAAAAATGCTAACATGCAAGAAAAATGTTATCACTTTAGAAAATCAAGCAGTAACGCTGATACGTAACCTGTACCTTATATTAATAATTTCTGTATAATGCAGAACGACAATTAAGGTCCCAGCGCGATAGGCTGTTCTTTACTGTGACAGCCAGAGTCAGTCTCAGCTAGGCTGTTCTTTACTGTGACAGCCAGTCTCAGCTAGGCTGTTTTTTACTGTGACAGCCAGAGTCAGTCTCAGCTAGGCTGTTCTTTACTGTGACAGCCAGAGTCAGTCTCAGCTAGGCTGTTCTTTACTGTGACAGCCAGAGTCAGTCTCAGCTAGGCTGTTCTTTACTGTGACAGCCAGTCTCAGCTAGGCTGTTCTTTACTGTGACAGCCAGTCTCAGCTAGGCTGTTCTTTACTGTGACAGCCAGTCTCAGCTAGGCTGTTCTTTACTGTGACAGCCAGTCTCAGCTAGGCTGTTCTTTACTGTGACAGCCAGAGTCAGTCTCAGCTAGGCTGTTCTTTACTGTGACAGCCAGAGTCAGTCCCAGCCAGGCTGTTCTTTACTGTGACAGCCAGAGTCAGTCTCAGCTAGGCTGTTCTTTACAGGGGCAGCTAGTCTCAGCTAGGCTGTTCTTTACTGTGACAGTCAGTCTCAGCTAGGCTGTTCTTTACTGTGACAGTCAGTCTCAGCTAGGCTGTTCTTTACTGTGACAGCCAGTCTCAGCTAGGCTGTTCTTTACTGTGACAGCCAGAGTCAGTCTCAGCTAGGCTGTTCTTTACTGTGACAGCCAGAGTCAGTCCCAGCCAGGCTGTTCTTTACTGTGACAGCCAGAGTCAGTCTCAGCTAGGCTGTTCTTTACAGGGGCAGCTAGTCTCAGCTAGGCTGTTCTTTACTGTGACAGTCAGTCTCAGCTAGGCTGTTCTTTACTGTGACAGTCAGTCTCAGCTAGGCTGTTCTTTACAGTGGCAGCTAGTCTCAGCTAGGCTGTTCTTTACTGTGACAGTCTCAGCTAGGCTGTTTTTTACTGTGACAGCCAGTCTCGGCTAGGCTGTTCTTTACTGTGACAGCCAGTCTCAGCTAGGCTGTTCTTTACTGTGACAGCCAGTCTCAGCTAGGCTGTTCTTTACTGTGACAGCCAGAGTCAGTCTCAGCTAGGCTGTTCTTTACTGTGACAGCCAGTCTCAGCTAGGCTGTTCTTTACTGTGACAGCCAGTCTCAGCTAGGCTGTTCTTTACTGTGACAGCCAGTCTCAGCTAGGCTGTTCTTTACTGTGACAGCCAGTCTCAGCTAGGCTGTTCTTTACAGTGACAGCTAGAGTCCGTCTTCTGCTGAGATCCACAGAACCTGGACACACACGTCCTGCGTCTTCGACTACTTTGCTGCGAATTCTCCTTGGAGCTAATCTCCTAACAACAAAAATGACCATATGCAGCAACATCTTACATTGTATTTGCATCATCCACTATTGGTGTAATTTAGTTCGTAAATTTCACGCAACAGTGCTGATGAGGGCTTTCTAGCCACAGCTTTCATTTGGCGTTATGGCGTTACACCCATGGGGACAAGGGGGGAGGGGTTGACTCACTGCCCTCCTGACAAGTTAAGTTAGTTGCGTATCCTTTACAGGACGTTGCAAACCAACCCCAACATTGTTTTTATTTTGTGGGGGTTTTTTTCTAGGCGAATTTTACATTCAGTAGTTTGCCATTGCTAACTGAACGGTCAGCTCTCAATGCCACTGTCAAAACCAACACAAGACCGATTGTCTGCTTCTGAGATTGAACCCCCGCACTATGAAGTGCGTTCACAGCGCCTTAGCCACACACGCCTGCTAACCAGCATGTTGTGCTAGGTGACAAATTAGAGGTTTTTCTCTTTGAAGTCAGAGTCCGTCTGCCTGAGGGGTGTGAAACCAACAGTCTGCAATTAAAAAAAAAGAAAGCCAGATCTCTAAAATGAATGTACACACAAAACTCAGGTTCTAGACCAATTCCAGAAGTGGCAGAACAACCAGAATATTCTGCCGGAGTTCACAGCCGGCCAGTGATGAGAGGAGGAATAAGAATTTGTTGTTTATTATTTTATGTTGTTTATTATTTTATGTTGTTTATTATTTTATGTTGTTTATTATTTTATGTTGTTTATTATTTTATGTTGTTTATTATTTTATGTTGTTTATTATTTTATGTTGTTTATTATTTTATGTTGTTTATTATTTTATGTTGTTTATTATTTTATGTTGTTTATTATTTTATGTTGTTTATTATTTTATGTTGTTTATTATTTTATGTTGTTTATTATTTTATGTTGTTTATTATTTTATGTTGTTTATTATTTTATGTTTATTATTTTATGTTTATTATTTTATGTTGTTGATTATTTTATGTTGTTTATTATTTTATGTTGTTGATTATTTTATGTTGTTTATTATTTTATGTTGTTTATTATTTTATGTTGTTTATTATTTTATGTTGTTTATTATTTTATGTTGTTTATTATTTTATTTGTGTTTATTATTTTATGTTGTTTATTATTTTATGTTGTTTATTATTATTTTATTTTGTTGATTATTTTATGTTATTGATTATTTTATGTTGTTTATTATTTTTATATTTTATTGTTTATTATTTTATGTTTATTATTTTATGTTTATTATTTTATGTTATGTTGTTGATTATTTTATGTTGTTTATTATTTTATTTTGTTTATTATTTTATTTTGTTTATTATTTTATGTTGCCATATTTATTTTATGTTGTTTATTATTTTATGTTGTTTATTATTTTATGTTGTTTAGGTTTATGTTGTTTATTATTTTATGTTTATTACAACCAGTTTATATTTTTTTATTTTGTTGATTATTTTATGTTGTTTATTATTTTGATGAGAGGAGGAATAAGAATTTGTTTTTTTTTTTGTTTATTATTTTATGTTGTTGATTATTTTATGTTGTTGATTATTTTATGTTGTTTAGATTATTTTATGTTGTTTATTATTTTATGTTGTTGATTATTTTATGTTGTTGATTATTTTATGTTGTTGATTATTTTATGTTGTTTATTATTTTATGTTGTTGATTATTTTATGTTGTTGATTATTTTGTGTTGTTGATTATGTTATGTTGTTTATTATTTTATTTGATGCTAATTCTGCTTTTTATTTGCTTTGTTATCTTTTCACATTTCTAGAAACCACGTATGCGTCCATTACTTATTTACATATTTTACTTGTCTGTTTTTCATAAGCTGAAGAAAAAGGACTATCCAATGCACAGATTGGATGACAAGGATGATGTGTTTGGAGCGGGACTTGTTGGTCTGTCTCTCATTATTAGAGGACGCCCAATGATTCGTTTCTTTACCGGACGTGACATGGTCAGCGATACCAACGAGCGGCTGGTTATCATGAAGAAGGTATGGGTCAAGTCTTGAGAATATTTTACCAAAATGTTAAATTTTGTCACACACTTCAGTAGCCCCACACACTTGATTCCCCCCCCCCCCCCCCCCCCCCCCCCCACTTTACTAGTCCCAGTAACTTTATTTCCTCCCCACACACTTTATTAGTCCCAGTAACTTTATTTCCTCCCCACACACTTTACTAGTCCCAGTAACTTGATTTCCTCCCCACACACTTTACTAGTCCCAGTAACTTGATTTCCTCCCCACACACTTTACTAGTCCCAGTAACTTGATTTCCTCCCCACACACTTTACTAGTCCTAGTAACTTGATTTCCTCCCCACACACTTTACTAGTCCCAGTAACTTGATTTCCTCCCCACACACTTTACTAGTCCCAGTAACTTTATTTCCTCCCCACACACTTTACTAGTCCCAGTAACTTTATTTACTAGTCCCAGTAAACTTACTAGTCCCAGTAACTTCCTCCTCCCACACACACTTTACTAGTCCCAGTAACTTTATTTCCTCCCACACACTTTACAGTCCCATACTTTTCTTTATTTCTTTTCACTAAGTACCCATACACTTGGATTTTCCACACACATACATATCACATATTCCTACACACTTGACATACTCCTACACACTTGACCTTCTCCTACACACTTGACATGCTCCTACACACTTGACATGCTCCTACACACTTGACATGCTCCTACACACTTGATATGCTCCTACACACTTGACATGCTCCTACACACTTGACATGCTCCTACACACTTGACATGCTCCTACACACTTGACATGCTCCTACACACTTGACATGCTCCTACACACTTGACATGCTCCTACACATTTGACATGCTCCTACACACTTGACATGCTCCTACACACTTGACATGCTCCTACACACACTTGACATGCTCCTACACACTTGACATGCTCCTACACACTTGACATGCTCCTACACACTTGACATGCTCCTACACACTTGACATGCTCCTACACACTTGACATGCTCCTACACACTTGACATGCTCCTACACACTTGACATGCTCCTACACACTTGACATGCTCCTACACACTTGACATGCTCCTACACACTTGACATGCTCCTACACACTTGGCATGCTCCTACACACTTGGCATGCTCCTACACACTTGGCATGCTCCTACACACTTGGCATGCTCCTACACATTTCACACATTCCTGCACACTTGACATGTCCTTTCCAAGAAAAAAAAAAGAAGAAGACACATCTCATATGTACTCTCACACCTTACCTATTTCCCACACAATTCATTGTACCCCATAACCACACGTAACAATGTTGCAAGCTTCTTCTTCTGGTTCATCAGCTGTAAACTCCAGTGGCAAGTTCTGGATGTTTGTCCACTTCTGGTTGTTTGTTGTTTGCACTAGTTTTCAACAGATAAGACAGACAAGAATGACCGAACCATTAGAAGTACTGTTAATGATCTTACTAAAAAAGTCAGAGATAAGACTATGAGAATATCATGCAAGTAAAACAGATATAAACCGTATGATACCCTGTGTGGGTTCCGGGGCCTTATTAAAGGGAAAACAAGAATAGACCCACTCCTACCCAAAAGCACTGCGTAAGAGTCGACTAATTGGAGCTTCCTTTAAAGTCAGAGTGCGTCTGCCTGAGGGGCAAGGAACCAAAAGTCTGCATACAAATTAGATCTGTCAAACGGATGCACATGCAACACTCAGGTTCTAGAACAGGACTGCAGTCCAGAAGGGGACAAACAACCAGAACTTTCCGCCGGAGTTTACAGCTAGTGAATGCAAAGAAGAAGAAAGCGTATGATGATGAAGAAAACAACAGATTGTGCACTCAGACCAGATGGGGTTAGGTATAGTCATATGAGAAGTTTGAGTGATGAGGGACTCGGTGAAATGGTGTTGTGTTTCGGCAACAGTATTGCAACAGCGTCAACTCCAATGGACTGGCTGATGCAGCTGTCTTGTACCATTCCTGAACCAAATAAAGATCTTACCAACTTGAATGGTTAAAGAATTATTACCTTACAGAATACCTTTTGTAAGATTAGCAGAACCAACTTGCACAGAGTGATAGTTAGCTTGGACTGAGTGTGTCAGGAATGGACAGCTGGTGAAACAGTCAGCGTTGCAAGGGCTGATCAGTGAACATTCACATCTAGATGACATTGTAATATATGTATGTAGATGGGTCTGTAGTGAGAGGTAAGAAACTTTGAAAAAAAAGAAGACAAAAATGTCAAGCTTTGTCCTCTTTCAGCCACCCGAAGGCCTGCTTTATCGAGGACGGTTTCATTGCTGTCTGAATTTCGTTTATTTCTTTGTGGCGATCATTTTCGCTTATGTTTCGATCTGTTTGCAATCATCATGTCAGCAGCATAAGGCTTGGCGGGCATTTTCCAATTTTTTTTTTGGGAGTGGAACTGGCAGCCCTGAAAAGGACTGCCATTTTTGCTTGGAGCGGCCTGGAACGGGATGTAAGAAGAGTGGGTGGGGTTTTATTGTAAAGGTGAATGGACACTGCTTGAAAACAAGTCAGCCTCAAGTAAAATGCCAGTACATCCAGTATGAGAATGGAGGTGGAGGCAGTAATGTTAGCTTTCTGATAGCTTGAGAGCAGCACAGCCCAGCATGTTGTAAGTGTGCCAGACCCACAGAGCTTGCATCGGAAATTGAAACTGATGTTCTCTGTGCAGAGTGACTTGCTTCACTTGATAAGACTCAGATCAAGAGTATATTATAGATTTTCTGCCCATGACATTCAGGTGTGCGAGATAACAAACAGACTGATAGTTTAGCTGCTGCTGTTCCTCTGGGTGGTACACTACTGTAAATAAAGTGGATGTGGCGAAGGCTCTGTGGGATCAGATGGCAGTGCAAAAGAACAGATAGGGAATCCATACACTGAAAAACTTATTCAGAGGGGTGAGTAGCGGTTCTGGAAAATATTCAACATTGAAGGTGAAACAGACATACTTTTAATCAGGTTGCAGCCAGGTACTATTAGCATGTCAACTCTTCGTTGGCTACTGAAGAAGAGGACGAAGCACATGTGGGAATGTCCTTCATTCTTTCAACTCTGATCTTGTTCCAGGACTGAGGGTTTTGCGTGCACATCCATTTTACGTATCTTACTTGTTTGTATACAGACTGCTGGTTCCTCGCCTCTAAAGTAGATGCATTCTTTGAAGGAAACGTGGACCCTATCTGTGTTGAGCCAGGCCCTAGGTTGAGAACCTGTCTCTATGATGACCATGGAAAAGGGTCCTTTACTGACTGACTTATGTTGTTGGCAGGTGTCTTTTTTCTCCACAGATCAGCGAAATGACAGAGGAACAGATGTCACAGCTACTTAATGAACAGATGTCAGTTGTCATGAGGGGTCTGCTTCAAGGTGTATTAGCTCTAGACAGGGCCAAGCGATGGCCTGCCAAGAAAGCTGTATGCTATTTGCTAGGTAATCATTCACTTTAAAAACAGTTACTGAATGTAAAGAGATAGGGAACCCTGACCAGCTGACCAAACATCATCATCATGTAGCAGGTCCTTGCAAAACGTAGCTCTCATCACGGTCAGTCTGAAAGAAACTAGGTCTCTCCTCAGCTCTTCCACCTCATGCACTTTAATACCTAAGGAGTCGCTTATATCCTGTGCCCATCTTCATCTTGGTCAGCCTCTGCCTCTCCTTCCTGGTACCATGCCTTCTGCTTTTAATTTATTTTCAATCTGATATGGCCAAAATATTTCAAGCTTTTGAGATAAGATGTTTATTAGCCAGTCTTCCTTAATGATCGGATCTGTTAAAATGTTGGTATTTCTTCTCTTGTTTGTCCGTGGTATTCTTAGAATCTTTCTGTAGTATTTCAGTACAAAAATTGTGTTCCTTAAGGACCAGAAGATAGTCCACGACTCACAGCTGTATGTTGCTACAGGGACGATGATTACTCTTCAAAATGTAAACCTCTTTTTCCTTGCTGGCACCTAATCATAGACTTTTAATGCTGTTTAATTTTATTATTATGGCCATCCTCCTTTGGACTCCCTGAACATCCTCCATTGCTGTTTATTATGGAGTCTAGATATTCAAAGTTTGTGACCTTTTCAATTTCTTCATCATTTACAGTCATTTTTGGGTCACAGCCAGTTGTTCTGTGGACATTAGTTTTGTTTTCTTCAAATTCAAAAATAGTTTTTGATCTTCACAGTGTTTTTGGACAGACTGATTAAATGTTCTATTCTCTTTACAAAAATAAAAGCAGAAGGTTTGGTACCAGGAAAAGGGGGCAGGGACCGACCAGCGCGAAATTGGGAACAGGATATGTAATTTCTTCAAGTGGACCACAATGAGAGTGATGTTCTGCAAAGGGCCTGCTACATAATGATTAAATTGCGTGTTATTTAAGAATCCTGTCGGTTTATGCAATAAAATGCAGATCTGAACAATAAAAATCTAGATCTGAACAATAAAAATGCAGGTCCGAACAATAAAAATGCAGATCCAAACAATAAAAATGCAGATCCGAACAATAAAAATGCAGATCCGAACAATAAAATGCAGATACGAACAATAAAAATGCAGATACGAACAATAAAAATGCAGGTCCGAACAATAAAAATGCAGATCTGGACAATACAAATTGTTGTGGCCTAAAACATGCTTCACTGTTTAAACAGTGGGAATGGTTGTAGAGTAAATGCTAAACCAGTGTTTCCCAAATTTTTCTTAGTCGCGGCGCCTTTCTTCAATAAAATTTTTTCCACGGGGCACTAACCTAGGGAAAAGTATGACTATTCAATTCGTATGTAAGAGATAAAAATAAAATGCTTGTATCTTCTCATATTTCGCGGTGCCCCTGCGAATAGGTCACGGCTCCCCGGGGCTTGCGGTGCACAGTTTGGGAAACACTGAGCTTAACAGTTGCCTGTTGGTACAAAGATCTCAGGTTAACATTTGAATCTAAGATTTTTGATTTAAAAACATTTTGTTGTATTTTTGGGTAACCTGTGTGCAAGGTCACCCAGCCTAAAATGGGTACGAGGTAATGTCCTGGAAAGTAAAGGCAGCTCATGTGATGTTTACACCAGTGTTCTTCAACCTTTGTACACCTGGGGATTGGTGAAACAGAATTATTGTGCAGACCGCCTGATAGATAACCAAAATGTAGATGACGGTTTATTTGTTCGATCCGATGTCACAGAATTAAATTTTTTTTGTCAGAAGCAATATTTTTTGCTGTTTTAAGGTTAGATCTGATATGCATGCCGTATGAAGTCTCATATGTGTGCCGCATACAAAGTGTCACATACGTACCGCACACAAAGTCTCACATATGTGCCGCATACAGTGTCACATGAGTCTCACATACGTGCCGCATACAGTCTCACATACGTGCCGCATACAGTCTCACATACGTGTTGCATACAGTCTCATATATGTACCACATACAGTCTCACATATGTGCAGCATACAGTCTCATATATGTACCACATACAGTCTCACATACGTGTTGCATACAGTCTCATATATGTGCCACATACAGTCTCACATACGTGTTGCATACAGTCTCATATATGTGCCACATACAGTCTCACATACGTGTTGCATACAGTCTCATATATGTGCCACATACAGTCTCACATACGTGTTGCATACAGTCGCATATATGTGCCACATACAGTCTCACATACGTGTTGCATACAGTCTCATATATGTGCCACATACAGTCTCACATACGTGTTGCATACAGTCTCATATATGTGCCACATACAGTCTCACATACGTGTTGCATACAGTCTCATATATGTACCACATACAGTCTCACATACGTGTTGCATACAGTCTCATATATGTGCCACATACAGTCTCACATACGTGTTGCATACAGTCTCATATATGTACCACATACAGTCTCACAAATGTGCCGCATAACGTCTCATATACATGCAGCGTTCAAAGTCTTATTCGCTGTATAGCACTAATTTACATAAATACACAGGGAGGAACCCTTGAGGCGTAGAAATATTATGTATTTAATAAACGAAGAGACAGTGTATTGATCGGCACTTATAGAAAGAAGTAGAAAAAATAGAAGGACACACTGGACAACATAAAAATCAAAAGCTATAGTTACCTTGCGGGGAATCAATTCGATTTGTGTATATCAGCGATTTTGTCTCTAATATAAATTTCAGTGTCATTTTAATTTCATTCAGTGGTTCATAGAGTTCACTTCCGCAGAATAGAAGGAATTAAATGGTAAGATAGAACCACTAATGTAGAACTATGAGAGAGAACTAAACAAGTTCCAGTGAACCAAGAAGTGAAGAAATGACGCTGTCATTGAATAAGATACATTGAGAAAACCTGAGAATAATATCACTGGAATGTCTTTGCACTGGAACCCACAGGAGCATAGAAATAAAGGAAGGCCAAAAAACACAAGGAGAGGGGAGCTTGAGAGTGAAGTTAAAAAGATGGGGAGAGCTGCAGGGGATAGCCCAGGATAGAACGACTTGGTGTTGAGTTGGTTGAGGGCCTATGCTCCGTTGGGGGTTAGAAAGGTAGAAGAAGAAGAGTTTACTTTCCACTGTTGTTCCTTTTTGACTAAAATGTTGCCTTAATATGTCATTTTTGGTGAAGCCTAGGAGTAGGTGTTCTGCTATCCCTGGCAGCTTTATGCATCTGCACATGGCCGATACACATTACCTCTCGTGTACAGGTGCCTGCGTAATTGGTTGTGCCCTGTTCTGAGATGCAGGGCAAGGACTTGTTCTGATCTGATCATAATAAAGTAGTCGTTCTGTGCTGGCTTCTTGATCGATTTTACGGATGCTCTGGTGAAAAGTGCAGATGTGGTCAAGGCCCTTTGGGAACATGTAACGGAATCAATAGAGAAACAAGATTATTGTGGCCTGGAGAGAATGAGGCACCTGCGTGTAACCAGAGGGTCTGGCCGGCTCACAACACTCAGAGAGGAAAGGTGAGACGACCTATAACGAGATTGTGACCGGTACCCTCAGTAATGGAACTCTGCGCTGGTTGCTGAAGATAGGGACGGTGCACACATGGAAATGCCCTGAGTGCGGTGAATTCTTGACTTAAGTTACTTTCATGATGCTTTTTTTTGTGTGTATGTGGATGGTAGATCCGGCTGCTGTATTGTTTCAGTTTTAGAAGCAGGATTGAGAAATTGAACTTGCTATTTTTTTTTTTTTCAGATTCAGAAAACCTTCGATCTGAGGTACAGCCTGCAAGTAAATTATGCAGGCATGAACCACAACCTGGCAGTTCACAGGTAAGGAAAATTATTATTGCATATCTCTTCTTCCCCCCCCCCCCCATCTCTTTTTCTTCCTTCTTTTGTATATCTCTCTCCTTTCTCTCTCTCTGACTCTGTCCCTTCCTCTCTCCCTCTCTCTTCCCTCCCCCTTGCTCAGAATCAGTGTTGCCACTTTTCTTTGACAAAAAAATCCAAATAGTGTCAAAAATTATCTAAAAACATCTAAAATAATTGCGTGAAAAACATCTAGAAAAAACATCAAAATAGAAAGAGTCATAAATTATAAAGCAATTGATATGACTTACCCTATAGAATCGTGTCCTCATCTTTACTGAAGACTGCCTTACAAGATCCACAATATATATTTAGCTTGGTTGAGGCTTCAGATCCAAAATGACTCTGGTATGCGTTAGCTGTTCCAATTTCCTTTAATACTCAATCAGGGAGCTGATAAGAGGAGCAGCCTTTTCCTACTCTTATCAGGCCCAAGTTTATTGTCAAGATAGCATTTAAAAGGTCCAATTGCATCCTGTTTCTTAAGTTAGATTTCATGAATTCACTCCAAATGAAAAACATCTAGAAAACATCTACCATCTAAATGTAAAAAATGCCATCTAAATGCAAGGGAAAACATTTAAATCTGGAAGTAAAACATCCAAAGTGGCAACACTGCTTGGAATTATATCAAATCCTGTGAACTTGTTCATAAGAGTTAGATTGATTGGCTGCGGTTGTCTCCCGTGGCCACAGAAGCACTGATAGTAAACCTATAGAAAATAATGAAGATTTGCTTATGGTATATCTGTTTCTTCTTCTTCTTCTTCGTGTTCACCGGCTGTAAACTCAGGCAGAAAGTTCTGGTTGTTTGTCCACCTCTGGATTTTAGTCTTGTTCCAGAACCTGAGTGTTACGTGTACATCCGTTTAACAGATCTGACTTAATTGTATGCAGATTGTTGGTTCCTTGCCTCTCAGGCAGATGCACTTTGACTTAGTAACAAGCTCCCAGTTAGTCGACTCGTGCTTGTTGGGGAGGCAGTGGGTCTGTTCTTGTCTTCCCTCACAATGGGGCCCGGAACACACACCAGTAGACCTGTGGCATATAAAGGAAGTAACAAAACAACAACAACAACAAAAAGTAAAGGACCCTTTTCCAAGCCTTCAAGCATATTGGGCATATAAGGCTAGACCTATATTTCATGGACCAATCGGCACTTGGTTACTGATGTGGTCAGCATCATGCTGGCTGCCTTTACTTCCCAGGACCTTACCTGGTACTCATTCAAGGTTGGATCAACCAGGGAGACAAATCTTTTTTTTTTAAAGTCTGGCTCCATCAGGACTTGAATCTACGACCTTCCGATCCTCAAGTGAGCGTATAGCAGCTACACCATGGCAGCTCCTTGTGGCATATGTGTGTATGTGTATATTATATATATATATATATATATATATATATATATATATATATATATATGTGTATATATGTATATATATATATATATATATATATATATGTATGTATGTATGTATGTACACCAACACACATTTATATATGATACATACAGACATACACAAAGTAAAACCTTGTTAACATGAATTTGCTAAAGAAGAACACTATTAACGTAAATGCAATTTCTCGGTTAGCAATTTAGAGGGTTGGGTCTGTTAAAGACCAGCTTTTAATTTTTTGATCCTTCATCCTGACGAGGTTTTATTATTTTATAAAAGTGTTGAGAAATTATCATTGAAAGCTTTCCTACCGAAACATTGTTTGTTGTTCTAAATGACGTGTCTGACTTCTGCACAGACCAAAGACCTGCCAGCGATGATCGACGTACGCAGGAAGGAGTCAAGCAAAGCTGTAAATCAAAGGATCCAGAAATTGGAGACCCCTGGTTCTCCAGAGATTGTTCAGAACCAGGGACTAGGCATCGTGATCAAGGGGTCAGCTGGTGAGTAGCAGTAATCACTTTAGTAATTCTCTGTGTGTTATTGTGATCCAGGTAGTGAATCACTAGTTCTGTGTGTGTTATTGTGATCCAGGGAGTGAATCACTATAGTAGTTCTCTGTGTGTTATTGTGATCCAGGGAGTGAATCACTATAGTAGTTCTCTGTGTGTTATTGTGATCCAGGGAGTGAATCACTATAGTAGTTCTCTGTGTGTTATTGTGATCCAGGGAGTGAATCACTATAGTAGTTCTCTGTGTGTTATTGTGATCAAGGAAGTGAATCCATATAGTTCTCTGAGTGTGCTTTTTTCCATTGTCCTTTGTTTTCTCTACTTATGCTGTAAACCCACCTAGAGGAGTTGGATGTAGTTTCCTGTCTTTTACTAGTGTTGTAGCTTGTGTTAATTTCATATTGCGTTTCTCTTATGTCTCTTCTACTCCGATCTCTTTCATATGTGACCTCCTGCCTTGTTGCCAGCTGTTGTCATGTAGTACACTCAACCTGCTGACCCAAACCCTGTGATTCTTTGATTTCTGTGAATCATTGACCAGTAAAATGCCTACCATAGTTCTTAGTTTTCCATTGGTGACTGTCATTTTGTTTTACCCACTGTTTCTTATTCATCCCATCTTACATGTTGTGATTTTGCGCTTAATCACCATTTGGTGGTTACAGTTCATTAGAAATTGATTGTTTATGTTTGTTAAACATTCTAAGTAACACAAGATAAGAAAACAAGATTAAGTTTTTTTTGGTTTGTTTCCATTGCAGCGACAACGCAGGCCGGTGGCATTCTTTTGCCCACAAAATTTGCCAACCAACATTGGATGATTTCATCACAAATGAACCCTCAGCTGCAGCAGCGGGGTCAGAAATTGCTTCCTGCAGGGTCAGAGGGCAACCCGAATGATCAGGATAGTCGAGAGTATCAGGACCTGGTGAGGTCATTTAATGTGAAGACACAGGTGAGGAAAAACTGCATGCCAGAACAGCAGACGGGGTTGTTTGCCAGTGGGCAACAGCGAGACTTGCAGAAGGCTTCTGTGCTGCCCGTTTCTACAGGAAATTCCCAGAGAATGCTGCTTCCAAATCAGCGAGTGTACCAGCCAGCGTCTGCTCATCTGGGACCAGTCTCAGAAGGTCATATGGCAGCTGGACCACTGTTTGGGTTGTCTGGCGTTCGATTATCTGAAGTTGCTGAAAGGTTTCCGCCCGGAGCATCTGGAAATATTCCACACATGGATATTTTGATGCAATCTGGTGAGGAAACTTACAGGCCAAAGTTAAAAGGTCGGCGGGGTCATGGAAGCCAAGATGAAAAGTAAACCCAGGGGCAGACGAAGCAGAAGGTCTTAGAGAGCTTTGTGTGTCATTTCTCCAATGCTATATATCATTTTTTGTTTGCTTTTATTTACCATTTCTAGGCTTCCAGCGCCCACATTTTTTTTTGCTGAAATCCCATGTGTTAGGGCACAAGATGCTGATACTACAGCCTAGCTGTAAACCACAACTTGAGGTGCCAGCCATTTTCTTCAGGGCCGACGCAGAGAAAGATAAAAGATATTTTTCATATACTTCTTCTTTCTTCTTGTTCACCAGCTGTAAACTCTGGTGGAAAGTTCTGGTTGTTTGTCCACTGCTGGACTGCAGTCCTGTTCCAAAACCTGAGTGTTGCGTGTGCATCCATTTTACAGATCTCATTTGTGTGCAGACTGCTGGTTCCTTGCCTCTCAGGCAGATGCACTCCGACTTCGAAGGAAGCTCCCTAATTAGTTGACTCTTACGACATGCTTTTGGGTAGGCAGTGGTTCTATTCTTGTTTTCTCTATAATAGGGCCACGGAATCCACGCGGGGATTTTCATATACTGAAATACATGTTTTGATTGGTCTGTCCTGGTCTTGATTTGTAATCTGTATCTTCTGTCTGATGTAGTGAACCAAAAGCAAAATGTTGTCTTCGCCACATTAGTAGTTGGCTGCAGTGGATAAATATGTTCACTGTTGTTGATGGAAGAAAAACCACAATTTTGCTACATTCGACCAGCTCCTGTGGAGCTTTTGGTTATAATTGTGGTCTAGTTTTTGTGTGTGTCAAGTTTTTTTTTTTTAAAGTATACAGAAGCCATGAGTTGCTAACCATTTGGCTCGGTACTATGGATATCGCAACCCTTCGGCCTTGAATCCATAATAGGTACCGTAAATCTGGGAGAAATGTGGCTTTTCTGCTTACCCCCAGGCGTGAACCCGGACCACAAGGAGTTCGTCACCTGGTCACTGTGCAGTCCGGTTTAGCCAACTGAGCTAGCGAGCCGGGCGTGTGTCAGGTTTAATGGCTGAGACTAGGTTTTTTTTTTTTTTTTGCCATGGTTAATGGCTTAGTATCCCTATCTGTATTCTATGTTGTCCATCCTTTTGGCTGTGGGTCTTTAATGTTGGTCCAGACGAGGGTCCCTTTTTCAACTGTCCATTCTCCCGATTGTACTTCCTGTTATTTGGCTGTGCTTGGGTTGTTTATATGTCAGGTCTTGTTCTGATGATATCCTATTTAAGAGTCAGTTTCAGCGGTCATGTGTCCAGTTGTGTGGGTGAGTGTTTTTATAATTTGTATTTTCAAGTCCTTGTCTTGCTCAGGGTCTTCGCATCTACTGTTGTCTGTGGAAGTATTTCCTTGTCTTATGTCTTGCCCAGGGTCCTTACATCTACTGTTGTCTGTGGAAGTATTTCCTTGTCTTATGTCTTGCCCAGGGTCCTTACATCTACTGTTGTCTGTGGAAGTATTTCCTTGTCTTATGTCTTGCCCAAGGTCCTCACATCTACTGTTGTCTGTGGAAGTATTTCCTTGTCTTATGTCTTGCCCAGGGTCCTCACATCTACTGTTGTCTGTGGAAGTATTTCCTTGTCTTATGTCTTGCCCAAGGTCCTCACATCTACTGTTGTCTGTGGAAGTATTTCCTTGTCTTATTTCAAGACAAAGATATTTTGGAAAGATATTTCGGTGACATTAGTCCACCTCATGAATTCATGCGGCTGAGAACAACCTTTTTTTTAAACGCTTTTTTAAAGTTCGCTTTTTTGTTTTTGTTTTTGTTTGTCTGGTAAAATTTTTAAATTTTTTTTTAATTTTAGCTTTGCCGTTTAACTATATCTGCTTTACATGCTTTGTGCTTTCATATTTAATTTTATGCCAGGATTTCCCAGGCTAACTGGTTAAGTTCCAGCAGGGCTCAGCACCCCTAATGTAGTGTTCGCATCATACAAAAAGCTAATTGTTTTTCTCTTTGATATTTTTAAAAGTATATTTTTAGATTGTTGATTATACACTTTGCCATTTCAATTCTATTGTGATTTTCTGTAACATGTGCCATCGTCCTCCGTGTCTTACCAGGACCCACAAAGCAAGCAAAACATTAGCAACACTGTAACTACCCATACATGTCCTAAGGATTGACTAATGAAGGTTGGCGTGAGATTGGCTACCTTACCCTGTAAAACAGACACGTCCACCCCGCCACTTTCCTACAAGAATGTCATAAAAGGCAGTCAGGTAGGTGTTTGCTGAAACTGGATGTGTTGGGCCAAAGGTTGCCTAGCTGTAAACCACAGTACGAGATCCTAACCTCCCTGTAAAGGGCAAACTCTGAAGGAAAAGAAGGTTATTGTCCTTTGATTCACTGAAAGATTTAAAAAAAAAAAAAAACAATGTGCCATTCATTAAAATTTTTTTTTTACCTAATATAGTTGTAGATGAATATCTTTACAAATCTAAGTATTATTTGAATGCCACTGCTTGGTTGTATTTCCTAGTGATTGTACTAATCTATATTATTTGACAGCTGTTTGGGTTTCTTTCCTGATAATTGCCCCAATCTTTGTATTATTTTAATGTCATTTGCTGGATTTTTTTTTTTCCTTAGTGAAAGTGATCACTGTAGTTGTTAGTGTTAATTCCTGGACTGTTTTGTTGATTTATACAATGTGTTTTACCCATTCATTTCTGCTGCTGTTCTGGGTTCTTTGCCATGGAGACTTGGGTTTTAATTTCTGTGTTGTTTTGGTTTCGTGTCGGTACATCTTATTCAGAGGAGACGGCTAATTAGGGGTTTTTCCCTTTAAAGGGGAAGTCCATCTGCCTGAGAAGCAAGGAATTAACAGTCAGCATACAAATAAGCCAGATCTGTCAAAATCAAAAGATCTGTAAAGCTCATGTCCTGGAACAAGACTAAAGTCCAGAAATGGAGGAACAGCCAGAACTTTCCAGCAGTTTACACACCGGTGAACATGAAGAACAATATAGTTTGTTGTCGTTGTTGTTGTTGTTGTTGTTGTTGTTGTTGTTGTCTTGTGGTGTATGCTATAGTTCTGTTGCTTCCCTGGGAAGGGAAACTCACAATGTAGTTTGTTGTTGAGAACAGACTCTTTGTTGACTACAGAAAGGGGCGGAGCATGTGAGAACATGTCAACATGCAGTGATGTCATTCATTCATTCATTCATTCAGAACAAACTGACATCAAATGTCACATTGTTTTGCCATGTCATTCCGTCTGTGCACGCTTAAGTGTAAGGCAGTTACTGTTGTTCTAGCACCATATGCCCAGTTCATGCGTCCCTGTTTGCCTGTGAAAGGTTACATCTGTTTCGTTCATTTCCTTTCCAAAATTCAGAGCGGTCCAGGTACCGGTGGCATATTTTAAATAATTCTCTCCTCTGTTAAAAAAAAGAATAGACTATTAACTACAGTCTGGTGAGATTGATGCAGCGGGAAGTGGCGAGAAGTTCTGGCAGATGCTCGAGGAAAGGCAAGACAGGCGGTTAATCAGAATGCTACTGGTATCGGAACTTTTCGCTGGCTGCTGAAGATGGGGGCGGAGCGCTTAAAGGAATGCCCCGAGTGCTGTGATGTCGGTTCTTGAATCAAGTCAATCAAATCTCGTCTATTATCACTTCATTTACATCTTGTGTATGATATTTAAATGTAGTCATTTGTTGCTCTGTGTTAACACAAGTTCCAAGAGACTGAAAATCAAGAGTCTGTGTTACAAAAAATTGTCTTAAGTGGGGACTAACAGATGTATTAGGAATAACACATCCCTGCTGGAACCCAACATTTTTGTTTTCATGTAAGCCGAGTGTTCATCTTCAGTGATTTTGTAAAAACAAGGTTTTATTGTATTGGCTTTCTCTATGCCATTACTTTAAAAAAAATATACTGTTTTGTGACAATTTCTGAATGAAAGTTGCCTACTCATTTGTTGCTACATATCCCGGTGAGAATGTTATATTATTACAGGATGGGAACTGGTATTTTCAATGTTGTATGGACGTAGAAAATATTGTGACAAAATATGTTATTCTTATAGCTTGCCTGTACGACTTTATGAATTTAAAATGTGTTACGTTATTTTATTCTAAATGTGCACAACAAAGTTCCGAGGAATTTTTATTGTTGTTTGTTTTGAAATTGATATCAGAGAGTAAAGACAACGTCAAGGGGTTCCAGGATTGTAAGTTTTCAGTCCAGAACCTGGTAGTTTTTTTTAAAACCATCTTTGTAATTTCTTGTTTACTTAAGACATTGTTTCCCCTTGACTACAATATCATTTTCAACCTTTTACCCCAACCGACCCTTTCAGTTCGGTCTCATCCCCCGTCCATGTCACGCTACCCACTTGGCTATGGTCGCTTGTTCACGAGAAGCCATGTTTTCCTGGCAGCCAGGTTAGTAGGTCAAGCATCGGCCACTGTATACATTTTTTAAAAGGAACAGTTAATTCTCTGCTGCATTCATGTTTACGTATAACTTCTTATTCAGTATGGAAAATTTTAATATTGTTTTAGTCAAGTGGAATGGTTAAAAATATGTTTTTGCATGTGTTGAATGTTTGAGGGGCGCGGGGGTGGTATAGCGGCTGGACGCTCGTGTGCGGATCAGAAGGTCGTAGGTTTGCTCCCTGGAGGAGCCAGACTTTTTTTTTAAAATGACATTGTTTCCCAGGTTGAGCCAGCCTCAAGTGGGTACCGGGTACAATCCCGGGAAGTGAAGACGGCCGGCGTGATGCTGACCACATCACCCATCTTGTGCCGATTGGTCTATACAAATATAGGTCTAGCCCTATATGCCTAGAGGCATGGAAAAGGGTCCTTTATTTACTTTTTAAAATGTTGGGGGGGGGGGGGGGGGGGGGGGTCCTTAAAATAGGGGTTATTGGTATTGTGATTTGTAGCTCACAGGGGTGAAAGGTTATTTAATGCACACAGGCAGCGTCTTTAGTATCCATTTTATAAGCTGTGGCATGACACCTTGAAATCATGCACTTTTTTAAGCT